ATTCTTAAATCGTAACTTGAAATTTGGCTAAGAGTATTTTAGTGAAAGCCAAACTGAGAAAAATCTCAGATTTCAGCTGACAATTTGACTTTGAGAACGTCACTGAAAGCTGGGCCATGACATTGTTATTAATTATGTTTTATCAAAATCAGCAAAGAATGAGGAAATGTTGTTTTAGTCTAAGTTTTGTATTAAGCACGCTGTTAGCGATCTTGTCATTTTTTATGGTACTTCTTATAGATAATATCTATAGATTTAAATTCAAATTTGCTAAGCAGTTGATGAAAGCTAGTAGTCTTAAATGTCCGCCCGTGTCACAATATAAAATTGTTCCTGTATAAAACTAAGTGCGTTGTTAGAGGGCCATGGAAATTGCTTAAATTATTTTGTCTCTGAACAGTTGAAATAGTTAATCACTTGTTTTCATGAATATGAAAATATTTCTTTATCTATTTGTTTAAAAATACTTTAAGCAATGCAATATGTGGTAAACAAACAAAACCTATACCTACTACCAAAAGGAAATCTATTCCTTGCTGTATTGTGTCAAAAATAGAGATGTTTTTCACGGACATATTATTAGACAAAAGTAGCTCAGTCGCTGAGTTCCGACGAAAAAGATGTGTGTTCGAGCCCAATTGTTATGTTGTGCCTATTTTGATTTACATTGCAATGCCTTTTTACTTTTTTCCGCTTTAATATACTTGGAAATCTTTATATGTGTGGCAGTTATAACTGCACCGACATGGCAAATGAAGCTGTACTGCTATAACATGTTTGAAATGATTCTGTATCGATTAATGTGTGAGAGTTATACTCATTATTAAAAGAAAATAAAAGTAAAGATAAAAGAATGAATAAAAAAGATCTAGCCAATAAGAAAATAATACAAGTTGTTTCAAGAGGTGATTGGACACGCAAATCATTAACATGCCAAGATGCCTTTTCCGGCCACTTTGCAGTTTAATTAAATGGCTGCTTAGTGAATTATTATTTATTGATTATCGTGCAGCTTCGCCTTGCATGAAACGTAAAAATAATATACCGGTGTTATGTTTGTTTCAATTAATGCTTAATGCAAAAGCATTAAACTAAATATTTTAGTACATGCAATAATTCCACAGCTAAAACATGAGTCTGATATCTGCACCATCAAAAAATATAAACACCTGGCAAGTTGAAAATTAAGATCACTGTTTGTCTGATTTCTTTAAAAAGAATCCTAAAACAATATCACTATCTGACGAAATACAAACGCTACTGGCAACTGGTTATTAAAATAGTAAAAACTACATAATATTTTTACATTCTTTACGCTGAATTAAACTACTCGCTGTTTAAAAGGTTAAATCATCTTATTTCTCTTGTAACTATATTTGATTATTGAATATTCATAGAACATGCTTGCGTTAGAGGTATTTGATAAAAAACGAGGTTATTAAAAGATTGAATATCTGTAAATGTTGACCCCGGATGTAATCTAATGAGAAAAAAAAGTACTAGAGCACGATTTGGCGGATTGTTTTGTATTTCAGTAATTCCATACAAAACAATACATCGTTGTAAGGGAAAAGCTTAATATATGCTGACAGAGGTATCTGTTGGCCGACATCATTTTAAGGGTTAAATAACCATGTTTCATGTCTTTGGTATTGCACAAACATTTCAAAACATATTGCATGTGATTTTAAAAGAAAACAAGTTAATGTTTTTTACAATATTTTTTAACAAAAGTGAAAGGTATCTTCCATTTCGCGCAGAAAAAAATACATGTGTTCATTAGAATGTGTTTGAATTTACGGAAACATATATAGCTTTTTTCACAACAAAGGAAAAATGTCCAGAAGCAAAAAAAAAAGATTTCTGCACTGTCACTACCGTTACATTCAAAATAAATACCCACTTAAACTCAAATTTAATTATTCTGAAGGTTTTTATACTCTATTTCAAAAGTATTAATGTACAGAGTGAGAATAAAGTGCAACCTGACCAGGACTCGACTGACCTCGGAATACCTTCCCTTTCTCTACCGACTGAGATATCCGGCCGCTTACGCATCTTCTCCCATAAATAGTGAGCAGTTCTGACCCCTGCTATATTAATGTTCGTCCTCGAATTTCTCACAGTTACAGAGCAATTCGAATTTAACTCTGAGCTATATTCAGTCACGGCCCCACGTTGGGCCCCAAATGTCATTGGGTGCGAAAAATGTGCAGCCTGACCGGGACTCGAAATCGGGACCCTCGGAATACCGTACCGCGGCTCTACCGACTGAGCTACACAGCCGCTTATACATCATCCCCCCTTAATATTGAACAGATTTGAACCGTGACGTTATCTAATGGTTTGATAAATGTTCACAAAATATGTGTTTTATTCAATTTAATCCATTCCAACAATCAAATGATGTTGTAGCTTTTCATTTAACTTGAATGTATATAGAAATTATCTTTGCGCAATACAAAAAAGATTATCCTATGAGTTTTATTCAATGTTCAAATATATTTTGAATGTATTCAACACAGACCAAATTAAAAAAAGTTTCTTTCTGGTTGATTTATTCATTATTTTTTATCGTTTATTTAATTATTTTCGTCTTTTTTTCGCCGTTTGATTAATGACACAGCGTGCAATATGGTTGTTAGCAAAGATTCAAATATTGTGTAATGACATTCCGTGATTTAGTATGAAATTGCTTAACTATAAAATGAAATTACAGGCCAGATTCAATTGAAATAACCATTGGTGTATTTTGTAGTACTTAGTACTTCAACCTTTTTTGATACGTCTACAATCATCGTGAGCTTCGGCATGTACAAGGTTTAACCTATAAAGGGAAATGTCACATTTTCCTATTTTTATCATAATTGTATTATGTATTATGTCTCAAGTCCCTCTTGAAAATGCAAAAAAATATAAATAAATAAAAAAAAAAAAAAAAAATAATAACAATAATTCTATAGTTATTCTGGATATTTATTTATTTGCATACTAAATCTTAGCTTAATAATAAATATGGAACCTGATATTTTCAAGGTTTAATGGAATTTTTACGGTAAAGTTTTTATTTTTGAAAAGATCAACAAATGTACTGTTAACGTTTTAGACAACTCTGAAAGCAGCTCTTAATTTTGTTAAATTTCATAGATATTATGAATAAGACTCTCAAAGTAGAAAAATGGTTAAACAAGTGAGTGGGTGGGGGTACATTTTTAAGCATATTTCATAATTTTGTATAGAAACAATAAAATTGCTTGTTTGATTTGCTAGCTTAATATTATTTTTTTGTTTCTTACCAATTATCAATCTGAAAACATTTTTCATAAAGTTTGTATAATAGATTGTTTAAAGGGAGACACAGGCAAAATTTTCATTTCTTAGTTTTTAATTTTTCATTCATTATTCTGTAAATGCCTTTAAAATGAATACTTTAGACAGTCAAAGGAACAAAACTTTTCTCCATATAAAGAATAAAATGGTGGTTTCCTAACTTGACCCGCGTGGGTCAAGTTAGAGCGCTAGCATTTCAAAATGGTTGTCAAAGTGAACTCTGGAAAACTCTTGAAACGTTAAAGAACATGTCAAATGCATGACTTAGGCTTGTTTCAATCATATAATATACACAATATCTGTTATTGTAACTTCAGGGATTTGTTCAAGTCACCTGACTTGTTTTAAACTATTTGGTGATTCTACTGGCGTCTAAATTTTGTTCAACATATATAGATATATTTACGCTTCAAACCCAAAATATATAGAATTTAAACAGAAATTCAAGCTGAAACTTCCAGAAAAGTCATTTTAGCGTGATTTGAGTACATACGATCATTTTAATATTTTTGTCATTATTTTGCCTGAATATCCCTTTAAGGTTTCCGAAGAAGAGCCCTTGAAATAGCCAAGCTTCAGTTCAGAAAAAAATCAAAACTCGGAAACTGTTTGGTAAATACTGATTTAATTTCGGAGGTGTACTTTAAAGCATCTACAAAGTTGAACTTTAGATTATTTAAAGTTTTGCCATTTTATTTTCTGGAAAAAAGAGACCTTAAAATGGCTAAGCTTTAGTACAGAAAAAAATCCAAAACTCGTAAATCGTAAGATAAATGTTGATTAAATTTTGCATACAGGTGTACTTTAAAGCAAATAATGGACATGTAATGTCAATTTTACAATTTCATTTGGTGCCTGTTACGACGGTTTAACCATAATTTCTTCATCATTTACGTAAAATAAAGTGCACTTTTATGTAAAACAGCTTACTCGATACGTCAACGAAACTTTTTTTACCTATTACAAAAATGTTAAATCTAAAATAATGATAGATTTAATATCATAATTATGCAATTAAAGTTATATCAAAGAACTGTGCATATCGAAATAAACTTAATTAGAAAAGACAAGCACAAGTTTTGAATGTGTTGTACAAAAAATAGAAAAGCAAAAAAAAACAAAAAAAAAAAAACACAAAGCTCTAGTAAATATTTAAATTGCAAATAAGTTAAAAACTTTTCAAAGTATCGGGCTACATAATTATTTTTATTTGTGGTTAGTAACATATGACTACTCGTATTTCAAGGGATAGGACCGAATGTTGCTGGTGCTTTATGTAGTCTCTGACTATAGCGGTCATTTAGCCCTACATTATTCAGGTTTTTTTTTCTAAAAATAAACAGCTATGTGGATTTTCTGCTTAAATTTCTGCTTAATTTCCCGTGTGATTTCTGCAGACGGATAGTCTGTGCTTAAGGTTACCTTAAATCACTAAATCGGTACAATAATTACTTCTCCGGTAATCATTATTAGTACAATATTTTAGTTTTTAAATAATATTCTTTTGTAAGTTTTAAATATATAATATCAGATTAAATTCTTTCTGCAAAAAATTAATTATTTATTATTATTAAATTTATAACAGGAGCATCACCTTTTAAACTTGCCACGTTCAATCAATATGCCATTGTAGAATTGGCTCGCGCATGAGCGCAGATAAACTAGGAAGTGTAATTGCACATTCCTTAACTGAAATTTTTAATGTAAGATTTCATTGTAATAGGAAGTGAAAAGCAAAACTGTTTGTTAAACTTAGTTTAGATATATTACCTGATCAAGTTAGATTTTAAAGTGTATCCATGTAAGTACTATATCATATTTTCGTTTTATGTAAAATTCATATTATGTTATGAACGCTGTATTTTTAAAATTTATAAAACATCAAACATGTATGTATTTGATTTAGCGTACTTGTATGTGATTCAATACTGATTCGTTTTCAATTATCGCCTGCCGATTTAACCGGAATTATTTCTTATATCTTTGTTTGAGTGTGTATTTCAGTAAATGAGCAAATTTTTCTATGGAAGTTTAGTTGTTGTTATGCCCTTAAATGTGTAGTCATTTTGTTCAAAATAGAACTATATTTTAGACGTTGCACAGCTGTTTTACTGTTTAAGTAATTAAAAAAAATGCTATTCTATTAATATGTATATTGATGATTACACCGTAAATATAGTGCACGTTAAATGGTCTTATCAAGACTAGTGTAACGTTCATTGACGTCCTTTCGTTATTTAAAGATGGACAATTTGTAAGCCAGAGCGATGACGTATTGAAGAATTAATCGCATTTTCTCGGACCTTTCCGTCAATGTCAAGGGAAGGACCTCGAAACAATAGTAAGAATACACAAAATAAATACGGTATTTCGGTCTAACCTACACTAAGAAACTTACCATGACAACAGAGAGCAATTTAATGCTGGTAGTTATATACTTATTATATCTTTCATAATGGTTGTACAATCGAAAGTATAAAATGTCTGCATGTTGATATTTATTCAGGTTTGGTTATAATTGCACATCAGTGGGCATTCTTAAAATATGATTGTCAGTCATTTTTCATTATCATAATTTTACTGAGTAGTGGAGGACAGCACTCTAGACGAGTTTTTTCCTTCTTTGTCTATATAAAGCAGCCATCTTGGATTTTGATTTTGGGAGCAGTCAATTTTCGAGAGGATAGGTTTGTTTGGAGAGGTCATTTAACTCATTTTTATGATAAGTCATACTTTGCTTAACAAATTACTGAATGTTCAATCCTATAGCTTTTTAAAATCTCTTACCACTATAGTATATGATATGTAAAGCAATGACGTTATAGTAGTAATAAAAGACAACAAACTAATAAATTATTCACATTTTATTATCATAACATTGACATTTTGATAACATTAATGATACAATAACTCTTCAACAGCCATATGGAAAAGACGCACAACCATCTCTCACTCTCTTATGTATAAAAATACGTCTTTGAGTCAACAAAGCTCTGCATAGTTTTAACAATCCTACACTGTTTTGTTTGGGTCAGTGTTAAAAGTTTAGCTTGATCACGGTCTTTACATATTTTATGGTACATGCAATCTGTTACCGTTACAATTTCATTTGACAAGCGATGGTCAGTTAACATCCTACACACATAGTTTAATTTAAACCTTAAATCGAATATTATTTTACCTGTCTGAAGTAAGTGTTAACATCTTGGCTCCTTGCTATTAAATGAAGAAAACTGAGATTTTCCGATAATTATTTGAAGTGCACGAACCTAATAGAGAACAACAGACATGTGTTTCGTAACTTTGTGTTTGTAAACATTTGCTCAATTATACTTTTTACAAGTATCTGTGTATATATTATTGTCAATTCTATTGTTTTATATTAAGTAAATGATTAATTAACGTTTTGCGGAACAAAATGAATAAATGTTCATTAATAATCATATTATTTGTGAAAAACATAAAAAATATCGTCCTTCCCGTGTTTCAATATGAGTGATATGACACAATAGTGGCACTTACGAACGGTAACACCGGGTTTTGTCGGATTGAGAGATGGCATAATCTGGTTTATCTTTACTAGTATTAAAAATATTATTTCATGAAATACAGTTGAACTTTGTGACATATTGAGATTAATGAATCCATTTCGCCTAATAGATTCAAAGCTCAAATCTACGGTCATATAGCCGAAACTTCACAACTTCAAGACTGAAACCATCCCTTAATTGGGACTCCGTTTGCAGTGGATGCAACACAGATTCATTCTCATGACGGGGACAGGAAAGATTTAAACGTTACGGGTTGCATTTCGTAACATATCACCCTCGCCCTAGAAAATTACTCACACTGCATACAGCAAGACAAGCTCTCATATATAACACTAAGCGGACAACCCTACGTATTAAATCGATATTGAAAAAAATATTATTTTCTTGTCTCATCACAGAATTATATTTTAAACGTACGTTACCTGTTTGTTTATGGTGTGACCAGTAAGAAAACGTCCCCGCAAATGATGCGTTTATAATCAACCAGGTATTATTAATAATAATTTTGACAGGTAGCCAATGAGAATACAGTATTTCTACAACGCTCGCGTGTAAAAAATATTAATTTTATCATAACGTTGTACATTAATTTACTTTCCATATTTTATGTTATATATTGCTTAATTAAAAAATATTTTGCTGTTCTTATTTACCTCAAAATAATCAAACACGCTTAATTAATCGAATTGCACATTTATATAAGATATTATTAACATAATATTTGAGATGGGTTTAACTCACATAGTATTTGATTTTGCCGGACGCCGGTAAAATCAATATCCAATTAATGTCAGTCGCGATAGATGTTAACTGTCTGCTGGCTATTCAATGAATGAAAAAAAATGTAATTTTTCCGATATTAATAAAAGAAGGAAAAAACTCGTCTAGAGTGCTGTTCTCCATTACTTTACTGAATAAGGCTTCATTTTCCTTTGGATGACAAATATATACATTCGTTATACATTATCAAAGATTACACATTGAATTTCTATTTTTGTTTGTATCCAAAACTGTGTAGTAGAACTGCATTTGATCCGTATTATGTCCGAGGTTTTTAATGTGTAAAACACGAGGTGTCCGATAGTTGAAATTTCCTTCCTTTTAAAAACCTGACACTTTTGGAAGCAATTTTTATTCTATAAATGTATGTATCAAATTATACAGATATACATGTAATAGAATAATGACGTAAAGTTATCATCTAAACAATTTTTGCCTGGATGTGTAATAATCTTTTTTATTTTTATAAGGTAGAAACAAACCCATAGGCTTGCAAATGTAGAATTTTCATTATAACCAAATTAGTTATCTACCTGATAGTCGCTGTCGATTGTAAATGTTAACGTGAGGAAAGTAATAAATTGTTTAGATTAAGCAGATAGCTTTTATCTTTCACCAGGCACAAATGGCAACTGGTTCATCAAAGGCAACTTATGTGAAGCAACGGTTAATTGTTACTGCAATTGATATAGGGACAACATTCAGCGGCTGGGCATATTCTACACTAAATGAACCTGAGAAGGTTTATGCAAATCAGGCATGGTTTGCTGGCGATGGATCCCTTGCGTCTCTAAAGACGTCATCTTGTCTTCTCTTTTCACCGGAAAAAGAGTTCAAATACTTTGGTTATGAAGCAGAAACAGAGTTTGTACGCCTAGTTGGAGACAGTGAGCAGCATGGCTGGTATTATTTCCGAAGATTCAAAATGGCATTGTTTCACGACCAGGTAAGACGTTTTCAAAACTTTAAAATTTTAACGTAAACATTTTAAGTGATTTTTGTTCATATAGATCTGTGTTCATATTATAAACAATATTGTACATAATAAGACGATCTCAACAAGCATTCATATGATTTATTTAATTACAAATTTTGCTTTATAGACACAGTAAACTTTAACTAAACTTTACATAACAAATGGATAAACCGTTTTTTCTTTTTGGATTAACAGTAGTTTTTGACCATACCTAATAAGTATGCATTAAAAAACAAAAACAATGGAATATAAATTATATATTTAGGAGCATTGAAGTTGAGCAAATTCCTGATGTTTAAATCTGCGCAAACTTTGAAATTCCTATTGCTTAAAAACATAAAGAAAGGAAACTATATAACTCTAAGTCTGGAATATATTAAGGATAAACTACTTATGCGGAACTTTTCTTCTAACAGAAATTGAATCGATATACTACAATCGAGGACATATCAGGAAGAAAAATGCCAGCACTAGTGGTCTTTGCTAATGCTATAAAGTTTCTTAAGGACAACTTTACGGCAACAATTCGGAATAGGGTACCTAGTTTTAAGAACACTGATGTGACTTATGTTCTAACTGTTCCTGCTATTTGGAATGATATGGCGAAAAGATTTATGCGAGAAGCAGCAGTTGAGGTATTTCTTACTTTCTTTGGAGGAATACGATCGTTTGCCGCGTTGAAACGTCTTGTCATTGCATCGCTCTAATTCTGTATCTTATTTTTATTTGCTCTAATGGGATTCTGGCCGTTAGTGCTGGATTTGGTAAGGTCTGTGTTCAGTAAACGTCATCTTTCCTTGAACATCTATGCTATATTTAATGAGTTTTACATTACCATCGCCTTCGCTAAGTTGATTCTTGAGGGCGTTTAAGAATCACGGCAAAATTCAAAAAAAAAAAAGTTGCAGGCTCGTTCGTGGACGGAACTGGTTACTGCAATATGATCATCAACGCCCGCCCTAGCATCCGCTTATTATAACATAATTCAACAGTTTCAGGCGTTTACATTTTTGGACTATCTTTAAAGATTTCGCGTTAACTTTAATGAAATAATTTAATTGTGTTGCCAATATACATATAATAATATACATTCATTGCATATGTAAGTTATTGTACTCGACAATGTTTTGAAAACGTGGTACTGTTTTGCAATTCAGGCTGGGATTCCAAATAATCAGCTGGTAATTGCACTCGAGCCTGAGGCAGCGTCAGTCTGGTGTCAGGGATTAAAAACAGAAATTCAACAATGCGACGAAAGGAAGGCCTTTGGAATTTCAGCTGTTGGCACACGCTATATGATTGTTGATTTAGGAGGTAAAATAACCTTAAATTGATTTAGGTGGTAGAATATAATACTTATAAAGAAAGGAAAATACTTTTTGAAAACTAATACAAGGATATATTGTGCAATAAGAGTAAATATTTCACCATTATATCGGCATCATTTTCCCCCGATGTCTCCCATTTTCTTCCCGATATTTCCTGTATGTATGAGTACACAATGCGGATGATACGTGACAAAGATCGGACATTGGGCTCAATCGCTAGGATAAAGTACTAAAATAGACTGAGGTAAAACTTAGTTACATTTAATGGTAAATCTATATCTAAAAAATTGCAGAATCCGTGTATATATACATATATGGTCCTGTTATTGTTTACTTTGTAGCAGTTGAAAAATGTTTTTTTTTTCTTTTGAGTACAAAAGGCGAACAGGCACATGCTATACAGTGCTATCCAGTAGTAGTATCTTTATTTTATTTTCATCTCATCATTGCATATACATGATAAAGCATACATATATCTTTTAAAACAAAATAAATAAATGCAATGCCATTCCATATGGAATTTTAAGAGATGGTCGTGAGAAATTGCATTTAAATCGAACAGTTTATCTATACTAAGCATGGAGTTAAAATAATATACAAGAAAGACATAAAACAATTATTTCTAGTAAAACGTATATCAACATAAAATAAAAAGCACGAATATCAACATCGGATCACATGCATTTTAAAGGTTTCTGACATATAATAAAAAAATATAAGGTAATAAAAAGATGTGTGAAACATTCCACATACACTGTTATATTTTATTTAAGTTTAAAACGACGTCTATCTATAAATATTTGTACAGGTTTTGGCACAATATCTTATTTCTTTGATCTTTATTGGAAAACAAGTAAGTATGTTTATTAGAATCTTGCATTTCACAGAACAAACTATCATGCTCAATTGCTCTACAGTACAAATCTACTCTTAAATCATCATAAACCTTACAATTGAACAAAACATGTAATTCATTTTCAACTGAGTTATCGTTACAAAAAGGACAGATTCTATCTTCTATGCTCAGACCCTCATAACGGCCGGTCTCAATACGAATCGGCGAAACTCCTAATCTACATTTACAAAATGCTGACCGATGAGAAGGCGGCAATATCATTTTACAGTACTGTTCGCTTTTATACTCAGACTTAATCGTATTATATAATCGTAACTTATTACGGCCTTGCCCAGACGGCCCAGTGTCATTGTATAAGCTAGTTTGCCGTTCAGTAATAAAATTATTGAAGGACACAGACTCAGTAATTTGTACAAACGTTCTAGCAATGGGATTGTGTAAAGATAAATATACATTCAAATTATTCTTAATTAAAAATGATTTTATATGGAAAAACCAGTTCTTACATGTACAATTAGCTTATTATATGCCAAGAGTGCAATACGTTTTGTAAATTTAGACTCTTCCATATTTGCTAACTTTGACCAATACAAAACAGTAAATTTCCATTGACGGACTATCGGTGGCTTCCATCATTTCATCAGCAAGCCCAACATTTGGTGTGTACTTGCCAACACCAAGAACGAATCGCTGTGCCCTGTTATAAATCGCGTCAATACATAAATATGCACGATGTCCTCATAAAGGATCATTGTATAGCACTTATAACAGGCCAAACTATTGTATCATATAGTTTCGTGAAAACATTGTATGGAAGACTACCTAAACTTTTAGATTTTGCAATAAGTACACCTAATGCCCGACTTGCACTCTGTGCCACAGTCTTAACAGTAACTAAGAGATCCAAATGTTCATGAAAAGCAACACCCAAATAGATACGAGTATATCTATCAACATATGCTAATTTACTGGAACCGCATTTGAATTTGTACGTTGCGCGAACTACGGAATTTGGTCTAAAATGGACAATATTGCTTTTGTTGGCATTAACTTGTATGTCATTTGTACAACACCAATTACTTGAGGCAGATAATACTAACTGAAGGTCATCTGCGGATTCAGCCAGCAATACAACGTCATCAGCATACAACATTATACAGACTTTTTTATCATCGATCTGTACTTCAATCCCAAACGATTTGCAATAAATTGAGAAATCGTTTATGATGAAATTAAAAAAACAGAGGAGACAATATACAGCCTTGCCTTAAGCCACAGTCTACATCAATCCAGTCTGTTTTATATGAATTTACCCTTACACAAGCAGAAACAGAATTGTAAAGGGACTTAATAGCTGTTAACATTTTACTTCTAATACACAATTCAGCCAGTCTGTCCCATATAATATTTCTATTTATAGTATCATACGCTTTCCTAAAATCGATAAAAGTAGATTTACGAGATTTTTTTCTGGTATCGAGAATGGTATGTAAAGACATGATATGATCAGTCGTGCTTCTGTTTTTTCTAAAACCATTTTGCTCGTCTGTAATGATATCATTAGCTTCTGTTTATTTGGTGAGTCTACTATTTAAAATTTGACAATACAGTTTATACATAGATGACGCCAGAGAAAAACCTCTATACGTCAAAGGGTCTCTTTTATCAGTTGTAGACGATTTATGAATAGGGTTAATTATACATTTAGACCATAATGAAGGAACAATACCTTTACCAAAACAAATATTAAACAATGCACGAAGAAAAGAAATAGAAACATCGTTATTTAACACTTCAACGGGAATACTATATATACCACATGCCTTGCCTTTATTAGCAGATAATAAAGATGTGCGTACTTCTAGCAGTGATACCAATATTGTCAATATTATCAACAGATATTAAAATACGTGTTTAGCAACGAGCTAAAATCATTTTTCCATCTATTGAGAACAATATCAACATCATTTGATATAGACCCGTCTGGAATAACTACTTCCATTGGAATGGGATTATTGGTTTTAACATTAACACCTATTTCACCAAAAGATTTCCAAAATTTCACAGGGTCAATATTACATTCATCTACTAGCTGCGTTTGTAAAGAATACCAATGTAAGCGCTTAGCTCGTTGTACGCGGTCAAATATTTTTCTTTTGTTTATATAAACAGTTTTAAAAGACCTCTTCTCACTTACATCAGTGCATGATAACCATGTTTTTTTCTGCAATACAAACATTATTCCATAAATCAGTAAGTTTATCGGACCACAATGGTTTACCAGGACGGCGTCTTTTGTTGCTAGACCCGTAGTGTATATTTTTATTTGGTAGCTTACTATACATAATATGAGTGACAATTCTACACCAGTCATCGTATACCACGTCAATCTCCGATTGTGTCCGGAAACCAGTTTCAAGTTTGTTTAGAAATAGTCTCGTTCACAATAATAATCTAGTATTAAATCCTTAGGCACATTTTTAACGTCAAATTTTGTGAAAGATTGATTATTAGAGTCATTACCTGAACTTTCGTTAAAATCGCATTATAATAAAATGTCCCATGACAGAAGCGAATGATCAGGCATTGTACTCGAAGCTATAGCTGAAATAATACCAGTCTTGTTAATAAGATCAGTCACTGAATTACATTAAACTTAGCAAAATCTGCTAAATTATCATGGCATACAAAGCAGTAATCTACTTCATCCATGAATACCTTTACACCTCTTTAAATTTGCTTAATTGGCGATTTACAAAGATTTTATACATTTACGAGATAGTTTTTTTTACATCAGTTGAGTTAATTGCCTGCAATCTTTTTAAAGCATTATTGTTTAAGGTCAGTTAAAGAAAATATATGATGTTTATTCATATTTCCATAATAAACGGAAGTGCACAATATTTTAAAAAAAATGTTCGCAGAAGTGTCTTTGTAAATTAAAAACTGTATGCACCTTTAGCAAGAATAAAAGACTGGCAATTTGACAAAGATAAAAATAAATATGTGTGCAAGATTATAGTTGTTTATTTTCCAAAAATCTTGCTGGTTGCCAGGGGAACGTTTCCTTTTGATGGTGTACTGAACATTTTTGCAGTGGTTAAAGTTGAT